TTTTACCTACCTTTGTCTACTCCTTTCATTACCGTTCAATTACAATATAATCTAATGGTTCATAATTACGAAATAAATAAATCCTTTTTCACCCTTTCTTTCTCTTCAATTTCTCCCGCACCCTTTCTCTTTCCTCTCCTTTCTCTCTTCCTTTCCTTGACGATCCTTTATTTTTATTTTTATCGTTTGATGGTTTATTCGTTTTATTGATACGTTCTAATTTTTTTTATTTGTTTTGAGGGTTTATAATTACAATTTTCAGATTCATTGATATTTGATGGTAATCTGACTGATATGAAATCATATAATAACTTGATTGTGTGGGAATCAAATAAATATATTTTTATTGTTTATTTTTTCTCATATGCAATGTATTGTCCTAAAAGTCCTCTTTTTAAAAAAAAATATATTTTATTTGTTATTATTAATTATTGTCAGTGATTCGGTATTCTACCTTTTGAATTTATGGTGTTATGTTGGTTATTTGTGAAACAGGAGGTGGAGTTGCTGGAATTGTGCTCCCTGAAAAGGTTCTTCGAAGTGCAGTAAACAAATCGGATTCAAAGATATACTTTGTGTTCATAAGCATGGAAAAAAATTGATAAATTAAAATTGGGAATATATGTAATTAACCAAAAAAAAATCAAAAAACCTTATAAGGATCGTTGGATTAGTTTTGCGAAAAAACCTGATAAGTTCCAAAAAAAGAAAGAAAAAGAAGCTACACTGCCGTGCATTCGCCTGGCGACAGAGATCAGCAATAAAGGTTGTGAAAAAAATAGATATAGCAGAAAGGATGTGGGAGGAATTGAAGAGAAAAGAAAGAAGAAAAAGGATTTATTTTATTTCGCATTGTAGTGAAAGGGGTAGGCAAAATAGGAGTATGCAGAATAACATATCCCATATTTTTATTAGAGATCTGTATAACCAATCCCTAACTAAGTTTATAGTTGTTTTCATTCGTTTAAACCCTCCAATTATAACTACATACACCTAACACATAGGTATGTTAGGTACAACTAATAGGATAGGGGTGTAAATAGGTTAGGCCGACTTACAGGAGCCTACGGCCTAGCCTATATTAGGCCAGACTTATCTTATTATAAATCGTAAAATAGAACATACCTAGACTTTTAGAAAAACCCATTAAAAAATAGGTTCTAGCCTATATTTGTCCTCACATGCACAATTTGAAGACCACTATTAAATTAGTGGCTTTTTGAATTTTGAATCACATAATATAAACTATTCAAATTAAGGAAATTAAAACCAATTGAGTGACCAAATTGTGCAGCACCCGAATTCATCCCAAATTTTCAAAACTAAGAGAGAGAAAACTCAAGTATCTCTTTCGAGTGTTGTTCTGAGTGAGATGCATTTTCTTAATTTAAGAGAGTCATATTGTTATTTCCTTATATTTAGAGTTAGTGAAAATCTTCTTTAATTTTTCATGTGATTTCTTCTAATGGGGGTTTTTCATATAAATATTGTGTGTCATTCTAATTGGTGTATTTGTTGATATTTTGATTAGCGAAATTAAAATAAAGTTAATTATATTATGAATGTCTAGAAAAATGAGTGATTATTTAATTAATTACTGTTGTGTAGCACGAAAAGCCTCCCACTAAATTTATGCTTACCTAACCAATTGTTGTAGTTACCAATGTTTTGAAATTTCAGTTTCTCTCAACTCTATTTTAATTGCATGCTAACAAATTTGGCATTAATATAAGGGGGCGTTTGATAGAGGAGATATTTTTTTTATCGGGAAAAAAAGATTTCCGAGAATATAGTGAAATTTTTTTCCCCGGGTAAGTTACAAAAAGATGTTTGGTAGGTTTAAAATTTTTCCGGGAATATTGAGTTAATTTTACTAATTCCCTGGGAAAATAAAAATATCATGTATCAGATGGTATTTTCGTTTGAGATTCTGTAGTTAAAACTGAAATGATAAAAATTTTTTTTTTCAGAAAATATTTTCAGTTTCTCATATCAAACATTGGAAAAAAATTTGTCCCACCCCATTTTCTCAAGATTTCTAAAACAATCTTCATACCAAATAGCGTCTGTATCCTAATTGTTACGATTTGATAGATCGATATGTCCAATCATAGATTGGTATGTTAATATAGGATCTGTTTTTCCTCTCTCAGGTACCTATAGGAGAGGTACCCTAAAGATAAGCGGATCACTGTGCACTATAATATAACGACATAGTCAAGGTGTGAGGTGTGTGCACAGTGATAAGCTAAGAGAGGGGGGGGGGGGGTTAGAGAGTGTGTACCTTATTGATTTAACTCCTTATTTATAGAAGGGTTACCTGATAGGAGTGTACTGCCAGGCCTCTTAGGAATATTGAGGGCCCAAGTCCAACTGCTTAGTTGATTGGATAGAATTGTCATTAATAGAAGATTCCCTTCCTTTTGTGCTGTCCTTTATTGGTCCTTCTAGAAAATGAACCTATGTCAGGTCCATAACAGTAATAGTTGTGAAACATGTTCTATTATTTAATCGTCCCATTCAAGAATATAACTTAATGTTTTAAAATTCAAATTTTTATTAGTTTGTGTTTCATTTTCATTATTTTGTCAATGCTTGGTGGTTCGTTGGATAAAATTGCTTCTATTTGTATTGGCGCTCTACCTGGGTGCTTCATTTTTTTATTCATAATTGTCACGCGAAATTTGAGTGCTTTATTTTTTAATTCCATTCACATAGCAATGGAAGATTTTTTATTTTATTTTTAAAATTTTCTTTAATTATTCGTTCTGCGTATTAATATATCAAAAGGTTAATCATTGCAATATTCACCCTAAGTTTTCGTCTTTCTCCCGTATTATCCAAATTTTAAAAGCCCGATTTTAACCCCATCTGGAAAGATCTTTTTAGTTGTGGAAAGATCATCCCCCATCATATATCATCTTGGCACTGAAAATAATTTTAGTAGTTTCATAGTAATTAATATTCGGTATTGAGTTTCAAACTTTGAAGCCTAGATACCTGACCTATAGAGTTTTGGAGTCCGCAGACCATAAAATATATTTTGACCGAATGTTGGCAATTTGGCATTTGAGAGGAAAATATGATATTTCGATGATTAATTGATTATTGAGAAGTGTTCACAATGCAATGTGTTACATTTATACTTTGGAAGAATTTCGTAATTTTTTTGGAAATATTATATTTATAAACTTTTTATTTATAAACTCTTACAAATTATACTATGTCTTACCGGTAAGATACTCTTGAGTGAAGTCTTACTGGTAAGACATAGTGTAGTTTGTAAATTTGTAAATAAAAAAATTTGTCAATATAACCATCCTCATCTTTTTTTGTTTACATTTCAACTAATACATCAGTGTAAAACTAAAACCCCGCAAGTCTGCAATTACAACTGGCAAATAAGCATTTTAATATATGATTTGTTTTTTCTAAAGTTACTTTAAACAACTTTGTCTAATGTTTTCTAAAATGATGTCGTTTTGAGGCGAAAATCATAGTGTATTTGTAATTTTAATTTATTTCAGGGTTATAATAGTCTTTATCCTTCCTATCCAAGCTTAGCCACCTATATAAATTATTTTACGCATAAAAGTGTTCTCACTTGGCGAAATAGTAACTCCAAACGTATACCTCCTTTCAAAATGGCCAAAACTCATTTTAAGGCCATACAAAAGAGCTATCTTATTTTCTTTTTTATTTCACCAAAGCAAAGGTTTATACACCTTAGAATATTATTCCACGCATAAAAGTATGCTCGCTTTGCAAAACAGTAACTCCTAGCACATACCTCCTTTGTAAATGACTAAGAGGCACATAAAGGAAATCATGTCAATTTCATGATTCCAATGCTTTAGTCAATCAAATTTAACCTTATCATACAACCATAATCATCATTAGGTAATAAAACCCTTTTTACACATTAATTCATCCATTTATGCCTCAAAACATAAGACACCATTAAGCGTCATTCAATTAATTCACTCAATTCACAACTTGCATATACATATAAACTTCACAAAGTGTCAATTATTTTTTGAACATTAAACCCTAATTTTTCACACCATGGCTGAACCTAATGGGAGGGATTCAAGGGAATTTTTCAAATTTTAAGCACATGTTAATGTTTATTTCACATCCTAACTTCATTAACAATACTAATCCATCACAAATTTCAATATTCGAACTCAATAATATTCCATAACATATGATCATAATATTCAAAACTCAAATCATGACATCTTCTCCAAAAACACAAGAGGGGAGTTAGGGCATTTACCTTAGAAGCTTCAAATCACTAAGAGAAAGACAATCCAAGCCTTCAAGCCAAGAAAAATATCATTTTTCTCCTCTTGTGAACAGTACCCGCGATCTAGGGATGCAGAAATCTCTCAATATAATGACTCCCAACTAAAACTAAGCTATGGGTTTTGTAGAGGATGAAATTTGACACACTTTAGGCTTTGGAATGGATTGATTTCATCAATCCTAGCTCAAGTTATCAAGGATTGAAGCTCCCTCAAGCTTTTTTTTCCTTCCCTCTTTACTCTCTGTATCGTCGCGTGGAGAAGAAGGAGAATACGAGGCTTTTAGTCAAATTTCACTTACATAGGTTAAGTGAAATTTAACTGGGTAAGAGCTTATCTATCTAATGACCTCTATTCTTTACCAAACTTTACCCAATGGACTAGAATATTTTTTCAGTCATATTTCTAACTTTACTTTCACTTTTTAGGTAACTTTGCTTACCCGCATTTTTACCCTTTAACTGTCATTTTAACTCCTTTTTTTTTACCAAAGGTGACTTTATTTCTTTTACTTCTAATTATTCTTCAATATTAAATCCACAATAACTAGTGAGGGTTATTATATTCACCCCACCTTTTAAGAATTTTGCCCACAAAATCAAACGTAAGACATAACACATACCTGACGTCAAACTCAGGATAACGCTGGAGAATATCATTCTCCCGCTCCCAAGTAGCGTCTTGGAGTTAAACCTTCCCATTGTACCTTGATCATGGGAATAACCCTGTTCCTCAATACTTTCTCATCGCGAGCCAGAACCTTCAGTGGTCCCACAACAAATTTCAAATCTTTCTTTACCTTAATATCGTCCTGCTGGACAATGTTGGATGCATCATGTACATATTTGCGAAGCTGACTAATGTGAAAAACACTATGCAGATTTGACAGATGTGGAGGTAAGGCAAGCTGGTACGCTACAGGTCCCACTCTCTGGATAATCTGGTAGGGGCCAATGAACCTAGGACTCAACTTCCTCCCTCCAAGAGCACGCCCAACACCTGTAGTCGGAGACAAACAGATAAATACATGATCCTCTGCAGAAAATTCTAGGGGTCGATGTTTTGCATCATAATAACCCTTTTGCGGCTCTGTGCTTTCTTTAGTCGATCCTTAATCATTATAATCTGATCAGTATTTTCCTGGACCATATCAGGCTTAAATAACTGTCTCTCACCAATTTCTGACCAGCTAGTAGGTGCCCTGCACCTACGGCCATACAAAGCCTCATAGGGAGCCATACCTAAACTGGCATGATAAATATTATTGTAGGAAAATTCCACTAGAGGTAGATACTTATCCCAAGCAGTCCCCTGCTCTAACGCACAAGCCCTCAACATGTCCTCCAGAGTCTGAATGGTCCTCTCTGTCTGACCATCAGTCTGAGGATGCTAAGCCGTACTTAATCTCAGCTGCGTACCGAATTCCTGCTGCAATGCTTCCTAGAGTCGAGAAGTGAACTTAGGGTCCCGATCACTAATGATACTTTCAAGAACACCATGAAGTTTCACAATCTCCTTCACATATAATCGAGCCAACTGCTCTGTAGAGAAACTCGTCTGACTGGAATGAAATGTGCGGACTTTGTTAATCTGTCTACCACCACCCATATAGAATCAAAACCAGCCCGAGTTCTCGGTAATGCCACTACGAAATCCATAGAAATACTGACCCATTTCCATTCCAGAATATCCAAGGGCTGCAGTAATCCAGAAGACCTCTGATGCTCAATCTTAACTTTCTGACATGACAAACACTTGTTTACAAACTGAGCAATATCTTTCTTCATGCCTGACCACCAGAAATTTTGTTGCAAGTCTTGGTACATCTTGGTAGCACCAGGATGGATAGTGTACTTACCCATATGGGCCTCAGCCAACACCTCATCCACCATCTGACCCTTGGAAACAATGATCCGATCTTTATAAAACTTAAGACCGAACGTATCAGTAGATACAAAGTCCTGTTCTTTCATAGACTGAACCTCTTCATCAAGTAATTGAGCCTCTTTAAGCCGCTCAACTAACGAGTTCTGGACTACCGTAATAGTCAACAAATACGAGCTATCTTCTGTATTCACAGGAATGTTGAGATCCCTAAACTTCTCAATGAAATCATACTTAGAAATCATCATATTAGCTATACAAAGCGCCTTTCTGCTTAAAGCATCGGCCACCACATTGGCTTTACCTGGGTGATTTTGCAATTCAAAATCATAATCCTTCAGAAATTCCACCTATCGGCGTTTCCTCATATTCAACTCTTTCTGATCAAATAAATACTTTAAACTTTTGTGGTCACTGTAGACAATGAAATCGACACCGTACAAAAAGTGTCGCCAGATTTTCAATGCAAACACTTCGGTTGCCAACTCAAAAACATGTGTCGGATAATTCTCCTTATGTGGCTTTAACTGCCGAGAAGCATAAGCAACCACCTGACATTGCTGCATCAATACACATCCTAATCCAAACTTAGAAGCATCACAGTATACTTCAAATTTATCTGCAGGATCAGGCAATATCAACACGGGAGCAATAGTCAACTTCATTTTTCTCTCCTGAAAACTCACTTCACATTCTTGGGTCCACACAAATGGGTTCCCTTTACGGGTTAACCGCGTCAAGGGTAGTACCATCTGTGAGAATCCCTCAATAAAACGCCTGTAATATCCCGCCAAACCAAGAAAATTCTTTATCTCGGTAATATTTTTAGGACGCTCCCATTCTAACACTACTTCAATCATACTCGGATCCACTGTCGCTCCTTCAGACGAGATGACATGGCCCAGAAATTGTATTTCAGAAAGTCAGAAATCACATTTTGACGGCTTAGTATACAACTGATGCTCTCTCAGAATCTGCAAAACCACCTTTTGATGCTCATAATGCTCTTCTTTGCTATTTGAATATATCAGTATGTCATCAATAAAGACAACCACAAACTGATCCAGATAGGCTTTAAAGATCTGATTCATATAACTCATGAAAACGGCCGGTGCATTTGTAAGCCCAAAAGGAATAACTAGGTACTCATAGTGTCTATATCAGGACCTGAAAGCTGTCTTCGGAACATCATCCGTCTTTATCCGGATCTGATGATACCCGAATCGGAGATCAATTTTAGAAAATACAGTCGCACCACGCAACTGATCCAACAAATCATCTATCCGCGGGAAAGGATACTTATTCTCAACAGTAACCTTGTTCAACTGCCGGTAATCCGTACATAATCTCATAGACCCATCCTTCTTCTCAACAAAGGTCACCGGGGCTCCCCAAGGAGACACACTCGGTCTAATAAAAATTTTTCTGGACAAGTCTTTAATCTGCTTCTTTAACTCAGATAATTCCAGCGATGACATCCAGTATGGGGCTAGAGAGATAGGCCCCACACCAGACAACAAGTCAATTGAGAATTCAATTTCTCTCTCTAGCGGAAAGTGTGGAATTTCATCCAGAAAGACATCTTCAAACTCAGAGACAATAGGGATATCAGATATTGGCTCTTTATTGATACCAACCAGACCTACAAATAGAATAAACCCAGAATCTCCTTCCTTCAAGGCCTTTACAACCCGAAGAACAGACAGATAAGGAGACTCTCTCTCTTCGTCATTAGAGGAGACATAAATGGTCTTACTGCAGCAATCAATCTTCACACAGCACTTAGACAACCAATCCATTCCCAAAAATAAATTCACAGAGGCAAGATGTAAGAGAATAAAGTCAGCAGAATACTCCCTGCCTTCATACTTGAATTTCACATTTTTGCAAATATATTTTTCATCAAAAACACTTCCCACCGCCGTAACAATGCGCATAGGAGTTCTCATTTTTTTCACACACAGATTAAATGCTTTGGCTACATAATCAGCAAGAAAAGAATGTGTGGCACCAGAATCAAACAAGACACTAAGCATTTCATTGTGGATAGAAATCATACCGCGCACCAAAATAGCGGACCTCTCAGCCTCTTGCTGAGTCATTGCATACACTCGAGAAAATGGAGGTGGAAGAGGTAGAGATGGTTCCTCAACCACCATAGGAGCCGGAGTAGCCTGAATGGTAGAAACCTGTCCCCCGTTAAAGGGACAGTCCTTAATGAAATGGCCAACTTGGTCACATTTATAACAAAGTCTTTGTTCTTTCCTGGAAACCCCAGAATGAATCTTACCACATGTAGAGCACTGAGGAGAAGATTTAAAATTCCCAGACTTTGAATTTCCAGCCTTCTTGAACTTGCCATCAGATTGTTTAACCTGTAAACATTTCCCTTTAGAATTCCCAGAAGTGTTTTTAGGACTAGACTTAGAAGTAGCTTGGTCCTTGTTCTTTTTTCTATAATACTCTTGAATATATTTAAACTTACTGATAATTTCCATGAAAGTGTCAGAAGAATGTCCTGCAAGCTTTTCAGAAATGTTATCATGTAGTCCTCTTTGAAATTTAAACATCAGATCTTCCTCAGTAAGCGGAGCTCTCTGGAAGTGAGAATATTTTTCCAGCTTGTTAAATTTATTCAGATATTCGTCGATGGACATTTGACCCTGTTTCAAGTCCTCAAATTCTCCATTTTTCCTTAGGCGGGCTTCTTCCGGAAAATATCTCATCAAAAAGTGTCTTTCAAATAAAGGTCATGTGATGACATAACCCTGACATTCCAAGGGTTGACGAGTATTTTTCCACCAGTCAGCGACATCACTCTGCAACATATATGAAGCATATAATAGTTTCTGCTGATCATCACACTCCATAACTGTAAAAATACGATCCAATTCCTATAACCACTGAATTGCAGCAATAGGATCAATGCCGCCTTTATAATGTGGTGGTGTGTGTTTTCGAAATGCATTTAGCATTCTATCTCTCTGATCTTTATTAGTGACTGGAAGCCCCACACCACCCTTGTGACTGGACGCTTCATTTAGATTATTATTCCCTTCATCCTCCTTTACATGGAGAGGATAAGATGGAGGAGTAGGCTGCTGTGGCGGTGGATGTGGCTGCTGCTCTGGCAAAGGCTGTGGCTGCTTGTAAGAGCCCGTTGTACACCGATATTGTTAACATTAATTATGATATTAAGTGTGGTTACAATCACAACAATTCATTTATAAAAATGCGAGTAAACTTTTTCTGTTTATTACGCGAGCATTTAAAACAATAAAAAGCGTAATAATTAAAAGCTGTGACCGTAACTGTAAAATCTTTGTGAAATAATTATTTAAACTATTTTTATAACATATATTACTTCTCTCAAGTCACTAAGGGGTTCCCATAAACCCACTTAGCTAAAATCTCACTTTCACATTTTCTACCTACCCGAACATGGTTCGGTCTTTAATTTTCTGCGGACAAACCGCATACGAAAAGTCTCCCATATTTTTGTATGTTATTATAGACTTAATTACCTTTCTAGGAAGCTATCACACGAGTCATAAAGTTCTCGTTTGCTCCGGATATCGCCGTTTGAAGTTGGACAAGCAAATCTGAAAGCCAACCCCAAAACAGCTCCAAACATCCTTCACTCAATCCATTATTCTCGAAAATCCACTCGACCAATTGCTCTGAAATTTTTATACAACAAACTATACACCTCAAGATTAAATTTTACATATTATACACCTAATTTTACCACGAAATGAAGCAGGAATAATTTTCCCGAACTCGGTCCAGATCAGCCCCATGTGCAGGGGCCAACAGGGCAGTCTGTGTTCTCAGCCTTCTACAGGACGACTCCAAATCTAGAAAAATCCAAAATTTTACCACAAGATAGAGGACATCTCAAGCATCAAAACGGAGTATGGCACGTTCCTATCGGACCACTGTGGAGGGAGATATGCTCTCCCAAAGTTCTCCTAAATTCTGCCAATTTCTAGAAAATTCGCGAGAGTTTCCTTTATTTTTCCAATAATCTCCAAGTTTGCAAAAATGTTCTATGGCCTCAATTTGTACCTAATAATCATTGGGTGGCACACAAGGATCAACAATGCCTTGGTGCTCTTACAACCCTTCACAGTTTATATCCAATTTAATCATTATGCTCAATTCATGCTTACTTTCTCAAGTTAATCCATTTCAATCACAATAATCATTTGTATGCTTCTTGCAATATAAAACATAAATCAATCCTAGAATAGGCCTATTGCCCTTTCATCATATTACATACTTCCATATTACATCAAGTCTTCATGTACAAATTACAAGTCTTCCAAATGACATATTACAATTACAAACTATAACCTTCAAATAAAACATAATAAATACTCCAAAATAAACATGATAAATCAAGACTAAACTTAGACAAAATATATCATGAACAAAATGATACTCATATCCTAATCATATGCATTGTTCATGACCTAAGTCTAGCCTAGGCCCACTGGCCAACAAAATTCAAAATAGGTAGTCCTACGTCTAAATCAACCTACGGGCTTCTTGTGTGCCGCTCCAACTCCATTGCTACCTCATGAAATAAAGCCCCCAAAATAGGGTGAGATATAAGAATATATCTCAGTAACCCAAAGATTCTAGAGAATACTCCGCCCAATGGCTCACTTCGATGCATATAAATAACATAACATAACATCTGAAAACGGGATAAAGCAAGGGGATTTAGTGAAATAGTGGAGCATAAGGATACAAAATACGACGAAGCTGGAATGGTCGATGCCAAAACCACGCAACGTCTAGCATATAAGCCTACAGGTTTCAAACCATGGCGTGTTACCAGAACATCAAACCAAGGCACCTTCCATCCATAACCACCCGAGACTTCCTAGTGTGCTCCTATCCGGATCACACACCACGACCCCAGGTCAACTGGAACTCCCTCACGGAGACCTATCCAGTGGAAGTTCGTAACGCCAAAAGGCAAACAGTCTATTGGCTAGAGACACGGTACATCCTATGTACCAACACACATACAATATGCATGAACATGTTATCCTATATTATTTACATACACTTCCTACCATTACCCTTAACGAGCATGGTGGAACACACAAGGGGATCAAACCCCAGTACCAAGAGGCTACCTGTATAATCCTCTCCCACAGCTCCAATGCAGTATATTTCCCGAGCTAGGTACACAACAGAAATGCCTACGCAGAGGACATTCCCAATTAATTACCATTCATACGAACACTGCAAGTTATTAACTCTTCAAGCATGGTTTCAAATACTCACCACAATCCCACTTGGTCCGGGACCAAGGGAAACCCTCCGAGCTCACGGTTCGGGGTTCAAATCCAAGAAAAGCAACCTACAATGACCATATACGGATCATCAACACACGGTAAATCTATCAAAATCCAAAAACGTCAAATTCCTCCCCTACACCGTGGTAGGTTCGACCATTGTAGTGCAAAAACACAAAATATTTTTCTTTATTTTCTTTTCATTTTTCTTAAGCATCCCAATGTCATTTTAGGTGTCAATTTGCATCCTACATCATTTTACCAATTAATTTGCTCTAGGTTCAATTACATAATTCAACACTATCCAATATTTTTCCATTGATTTTCAAACCTTCCAACCATCACACAACCCTTCTAATTACCATTTAACACATAATACATCATCCAAATAATTTTAACAACATCAAATCCTCATTTTTTTCCATTAAGGCCGAATTGTCCCAAGCCTCATACCAAAGGTGATTCAATTCAATTCAACTATTTCACACCTCATACAATCCCATTATTACATCATACAACGATACAACAACCCACTTACACAATCCTAACACAATTCAAAATCACAAAGTTCATGGCATCATCCAAAATTCCACTAAGTTATGATCACATTTCCTCAATAAATTTTATTGCATTTATGGGTCCAACATATCATTCTAAGACATATTTATCTAATACACATTTTTCATTTGAGCTCTATAACAACACAAATCATACAAAATACCTCTAGGCTCATGAATTAAATCCATAAATTCTACCAATAAAATGTGATGAAACTTACCCAATATCAAGGCCTAGGGCTCCTCCAAGACATACTAAACCATTAGAGCTCCAAACAATTCCATGAACACAAATCTCACACAAAGGGTCGCGGGTTTGGGGGGGGGGGGTTCTCAAAATATAGTGGGTTTCATGGCTTAAGACTACCACCAATGTGTTTATGAGGTGATTTCCAACAAATTTCAAGAAAAACTCACTTGATTTGATGAAGTATAGTGTGAGTTAGAGGAGAAGGAAAATTTGAATGAAAATGGGTTTGGGAGGGGGAGGGCCGCGGGTTTGATGAAGGTGAGGAGAGAAGGTGATGATGAATAATACCCATGCTTATGTGTCTTAAGTGATTTTAAGTAAGGTGGGCCCCACCGCCACCTCACGCGATTCCAAACTAATTCGAATTTCCCTCTGATTCCACTAAACGTCCATAAATTCATAACCTATTTTGAAACTCTAATTTTTAACATTAACCATTGTCCTTTAATTACCCTTGATCAGATAAATCCGGAGTTTTCCGGTCGTTCGGAGAAAATGCAGTTTTAAGCTGTTACGCGCGCCGTAGGCACGCTTCCCCAAACTCACTAATTTCTGTTAATTTTCATCAAAATTCATATTTCCTAGTCCTATACACCATTTATAACTTACATCCAAAACCTAAAGCTCAAAACTCAATTGGCACGTTTTACGGTGAACCTGTACCGCAGTATTTTTACCCGGTATAAACACTATTCACCAAATTTTCTGAAACTTGCCTAACCACTCAATTTTTCGTTCTGAATCCATTTTCAGGGTTCTTTTATCAGTTGAGACCTCCTACTCAATTTTACCTTCCTAGGGTTGCGTGTTTAATTAATTACTCTTTTACCCTTCCTTTGTATTTTGACCTGATTTTCAAGATTTTCACTAATCCTTCCCTTTAATCCATGTCTAATATATTAATATCTAATTTAGAAATGTGAGGTGTTATATTCATCCCTCCTTTTTGAAATTTTGTCGGCAAAATTAAATTATACCTGTTCGCTAACTCAAGATACAACAGGAGAATCTCATCTTCCCGCTCCCAAGTAGTCTCCTCAGGTGTACGTCCTTCCCATTGAATCTTTAGCATCAGAATATTTTTGCTTCTCAGCCTCTTCTCACTGCGGTCGAGGACATCAATAGGACCTACATGAGTCTTTAAAATCTCCCGAATCTCAATATCATCCGGTATCACCACATGTGATTCATCCGGAATATAACGTCGCAGCTGCGATACAAGAAACACATCGTGCAAATTCGACAACTGAGGAGGCAAGGCAAGCTGATAGGCCACTAATCCCACTCTTTTCATTATCTGATACGACCCAATAAACCGAGGACTCAGCTTCCTCACACCCAATGCACGGTCAACACCCGTAACTGGAGATATCCGCACAAATACATGATCACCTTCTTCAAATTCAAGCGGTCTGTGTCTATTATCATAGTAAATTTTCTGCCGATTCTGTTCCTGTTTAAGTTTCTCTCTGATCATTTGAATCTGTGCTGTAGTTTCTTGCACAAAATCCGGCCCAAATATCTCTTTATCACCGATC